TGCTAAAATACCTGAACGAGGCGCGGCGTTTCGATGTTGAAAGTGCGGGGGTGAGGCGTGGCAGTGCTAAAATACCTGAACGAGGCGCGGCGTTTTGATATTGAAAGCGCGGGGGTGAAGCAGCTCTCAGTCAGCACTATCTGATAGAACAGATGGGCACATCTGCTTGAGAAGCAGCGTGTATACAGGGCAAGGGCTGCCTCTAGTCAACGAGAGCGCAGCTCAGAGCTAACAAAAGTGCTCTAAGCCCAGTTTGGCCAATAGCCGCGGTTTGTAAGATCGTTTTAAACACGGCTAGCTACTAGTGCAGCTAGTAAAAGTTAGGACTTGTAGTCACCACTTACAAGCATCACTGGTTCCTAAGAGTTTGTTATGCGGTGATACTGCCGTTCAAGATCGAGAGCATCTGCTGCTGAGTTCTAACTAACAAAAAAAAAAAAAAAAAAATTTTTTTTTCTTTTCTTTTTTCCCAATAGTCTGGATTAAACTCGTAGGAATTTATAATTTGTGCGAGAAAGGGCAAACAACAAGTTACATACGTGATTAAAATAAGTTAAAGAGACATAATGAGAGCAAAACAAAGTACAGAAGTATCCAAGGCCAGTCCATTAGGATGCATCTCAGCTCACTGGAAAGAAATAGCAGGCAAAGGGGGTGTGGAAAATAAAAAGAGTTTAATCAAATATTGCTCCCATTGGTAGCCACTCTATCGCCTAGAGGAGGGGGCCAGATAGCCTCCTACAGGTACATTAAAATATAATACCTTGTTATAGCTAACATTATTTTTACGAAGGGAAGGGAAATGGGAGGAAGTTTCTTATTGTGATATGTTTTTCTCCCTCCGAAATAACCCTGATTGGCAAAGGGACTGTGGCATCAAAGCCCCCTCTGATCCCCTCGTTCTAGCTCTTGAAAAAGAAAACAGAGGCAAAATGGGGAAACTTAAACGGTGCTGCTCAGCCTGTAGTATAGGACAGAGGTGCACCAGGGTAGATAAAGTTTATCGCACAGCACTAGAAGAACAAGAACAAGATCCAAGCAATCTATTTAGTCCTCACTTAGGAAGGCAAGAAGGAAGGGGTGAGAACTTAGGAGAGGCATCAGCACCACCTGCACCACCTGCAACACCTACACTACACACCCCACCTGCATCACCTGCATCACCTGCACCACCTATACCACCTACACCACCTGTTCCACCTACCCCTTCTCTTCCTTCAGAAAGAACACACGCTCCAACCCCCATAAGCAGCCCAGTTGCATCTCGAACCAGAGGACAAATATTGCAAGCTCCTTTACGAGAAACAATAACATCGGAGGGAAAAAAGGTACTAGTTAAGGTACCATTCTCCACCATTGATTTAGAAGCATGGGAAAGGGTCGTGGGAGATTACCGAAATGACCCAGTCAACACTGCTAAACATTTACGATACATTATGAAGCAACACAACCCAGACTGGGGTGACATTCAATTGTTATTAGATGCATTCACTGAAACAGAAAAGCAGTTAGTTCTAAAAACAGCAGGAGATCTGGTAGCAGATCACTTTAGGCAACAACAAGTAGATCTAAGAGAACATTTTCCACTTCAAGATCCGGGCTGGAACCCAAACCAACTAGAAGAGAGACAAAAGCTAAAGAAATATCAAGACTGGGTGGTATTAAGAGTAGAAAGAGCAATGCCTAAAACCATAAATTGGTCAGCTCTATATGCTATTAAACAGGGACCCTCAGAATCCCCCACAGAGTTCCTAGACCATTTGAGAAATGCAATGCAGCGCTATACACCACTAGACCCTGCATCTGAGGTGGGGATACAACAACTAGTTAATCTATTTTTGGGGCAGTCCACAGGGGCTATTAAGCGCAAACTCCAAAAGATTCGAGAAGAAAATGCCCAGAATTTAGAAACTCTACTGGGAGAAGCTTAGAGGGTCTTTAGCAACAGGGAAGAAGGATATAAGCGAGGGATGAAAAATTTAGTAGCAATAGTACAGGAAGAGCAAAGAGGAAAATATAGCAGCAGGCAGGGGCCATCCAGGCAAGGCCCCCCCCAGTTGGGCAGAAATCAATGTGCAAACTGTCGGAAACAGGGCCATTGGAAGAGGGGCTGTCCAGAATGGAAACAAAATGGACAAGGGAATCAAAGGGGGGAAGTAGTAGCCCATGTGCAAGAAAAATAGTGAGGACCGGAGGAGACTACCCCAGCAGGCCCTCTGGTTATAAATCTGAAGCTGGGGGAAATGGAGAAGGAAGTAAAATTCCTAATTAACATTAGAGCAACATACTCAGTTCTAAATACAGCTCTGATGCCCATAGGAAATAATTATGCTATAGTTACGGGTGCGACTGGCCAAACTGAAAAGGCATTTTTCTTCAAGCCACTCAAATACAAACTGGGAAAGCAGTGGGGAATCCACAAATTCCTATATATGCCAAACTCCCCTGAATCACTTTTGGGCAGAGATTTGCTAGCACAATTACAAGCGACCATTACATTTAAAAATGGGGAGATGACCCTGGAGGTAAACGATCAAAAATATGTAGAAATATTAAGTTTAATATTAACCACTAATGGAATCACGAGAGAAACTGAAATTGATAAAGAGATAATAGATCAGGTATTCCCTGGGGTGTGAGCCTCTGATGTAGCAGGGAGAGCAAAAAATGCTTCCCCTATACAGATCCAGCTAAAAGAAGGAATGCAACCAGTCAGAGTTAAACAGTATCCCTTGAGGAGGGAGGATAGGGAAGGGATTAGCCCAGTAATTGAGAACTTTTTGCGTCTAGGATTATTAAAGGAATGTCAGTCTGATTTTAATACCCCTATCCTACCGGTCTGCAAACCTGATGGGTCATACCGGTCAGTACAAGATCTGCGAGCTGTGAACAAGGTAACTGAAGATCTATATCCTGTGGTGGCCAATCCCTACACGTTATTAACTTGCTTAACACCCGAATTAACTTGGTTTACCGTTTTAGATTTAAAAGATGCCTTCTTTTGCCTTCCTATCCATGAAGCCAGTCAGAAAATTTTTGCATTTGAATGCGAAAGCCCCAAAAGTGGGCGAAAGACCCAACTTACGTGGACGAGACTCCCACAAGGATACAAAAACTCACCCACTCTGTTTGGAGAGCAACTTGCAAAGGAATTAGAGACCTGGAAAGCCCCTCCTGAAGAAGGGAAGCTGCTGCAGTACGTAGATGGCATCCTGATAGCCACACGAACGAAGGAAGCATGCGTGGCCTGGACGGTAAGCCTCTTGAACTTTCTGGGGCTCCAAGGGTACCGGGTATCAAAGAAAAAGGCCCAAGTAGTCAAACAGAAAGTAATTTATCTGGGTTACGAAGTCAGTGCTAGACAATGTAGCCTGGGCCAAAGCCGGAAGGAAGCAATATGTCAAACCCCAAAACCTCAAACTGTAAAGGAATTACGAACTTTCCTAGGGATGACGGGGTAGTGCAGATTATGGATCTATAATTATAGACTATTTGTGAAGCCCTTATATGAATTAATTGCAACCGAAAGCAGGGACATCCAATGGACAAAGGAAGCTACGCAGGCTTTCAACCAACTGAAAAAAGCCCTCATGTCAGCTCCAGCTCTGGGATTGCCAGACGTGAATAAGCCTTTCCTTTTGTTCTCCCATAAAAAGCAAAGAATTGCCTTGGGAATATTAGCACAGGACCTCAGCCCATACCGGAGAGCAGTTGCTTATTTCTCTAAGCAATTAGACACAACCGCTAAAGGGTAGCCTGGGTGCCTCAAGGCTGTGGCAGCGGTCATAATGAACATCCAAGAAGAATGTAAATTCACCCTGGGCCAGAAAATGACTGTGCTAGTGTCCCACATGGTGTCTGCAGTACTGGAAGTGAAAGGTGGGCACTGGCTTTCCCCACAGCGATTCCTGAAATATCAAGCTATTATGGTAGAGCAAGATGATGTAGAGATAGTAGTGACTAACATTGTCAATCCAGCCTCCTTCCTCAGTGGAAACCAAGGAGAACCAGTAGAACACAACTGCCTAGAGACCATCGAGGCCACCTATTCCAGCCGCCCTGACCTGAAGGACACCCCTCTTGAGAATGCAGAAGTCTGGTTTACTGATGGAAGCAGTTACGTCATCAGTGGAAAACGGCACGCCGGGTACGCAGTAACTACCTGCAAAGAGGTAATAGAATCTGGACCCCTGCCAACGAATACCTCTGCACAAAAGGCCGAGATAGTCGCTCTAACTCGAACCTTAGAATTGGCAAAAGGGAAAGAGATAAATATATATACAGACTCAAAGTATGCATTTGGAGTAGTGCACGCTCATGGAGCCATCTGGAAAGAGAGAGGACTGCTGAACTCTCAAGGGAAAAACATTAAACATGCATCTGAAATACTGCAAGTTCTAGAAGCAGTTCAGTTGCCAGAGAAAGTAGCGATTATGCACATTAAAGCACATCAGAGGATAAACTCAGAAGAAGGAAACGAGCTGGCGGATAGGAAAGCAAAAGAAGCAGCAAAAATTGAAATAATAAATGAAGCAGCCCTGATTCCAGATGGGCAAATTTCCCTTGAAGGTAAGCCAAAATACAATAAATTAGACACAAAATTGATTCAAGAACAAAAAGGGGATTACAACCCAGAGGGATGGGCCACCATAAAAGGAAAGTTAGTCATACCCTCCTATTCATTATGGTCCCTAGTAAGGGAAGAGCACCAAAAACACATTGAGGAATTGATGCTCTGTATAAATATCTGAATGAAAGAATCATAGCCAGACATTTACGGGCCACTATCACTCAAGTGACTCGACAATGTGACCTTTGCCTCCAGACAAACCCCAAGAATATTCCCAAACCAAAACTTGGCCAGATTGGGAAAGGCCAAGGGCCGGGGCAACAGTGGCAGATTAATTTCACGGAATTGCCAGGAAAAGGAGGGTATAAGTTTCTATTGGTCTTAACAGATACCTTTTCAGGATGGCCAAAAGCATTCCCCACCAGGACTTCTAAAGCTCAGGAGGTAACTAAGGTATTGGTACAAGAAATCATACCACGATTCGGGGTCCCGGCCACAATCTCCTCAGATAGAGGATCACATTTTATTGCAAAATTAGTACAACAGGTGAGCCAATACTTGGGCATAGACTGAGAACTTCACACCCCATATAACCCACAATCCAGTGGTCAAGTAGAGAAAATGAATCATTTGATCAAACAACAAATTGCACGATTGGGACAGGAGGCTAATTTGCCATGGCCTCAATCCCTCCCATTAGCACTACTGCGGATTCGAACCAAACCCAGGACCAAAGAAAAACTGAGTCCTTTTGAATTACTTTATGGGAGACCATATGGGGTGCAGAAGAGAACATCTGCCCAGGACATGTGAGAACCCCGGCCTTGCTCTGGGGTCTCATATGGTGGTGAAATTCCTCCTCCAACCCGTGCTTCCAAAGAAAAACTCCGCAGGCTTTAGCTGTTCGGTCTCAAGGCAGTTTATTGCTAGTTATCTAACAGATTATGTTCTTGGACTGCGGCTGTTTGATCAGCGGCCTGGGTAGAGACACACACACCCTGACATCCTCTCTATCTGCTGTCTTCTTCGTCTCTCTCCCCGCCCAGGGCTGCTGCTATCTTTTATATGATATATTACGTATAACATGTTTACAATTATTCCCCAATACCTACTACCTACGTTGCCAAGTGTTTTTCTACTCTAAACCAATCTCTGAGTGCCAACATCACCAAGAACATGGAGGTAAGGAAAAAGAAAGAGGAAGAACAGGATCAGCCCACTTTCCTCCATCTTAGAACTTCTGACCCCCATGTACAAAGTGAAAACCCCCTGTATATGTGTTTTAACCCCCCTGTACAATACTAAAAAAATTTCCCCTCTACTTTGTAACTACTTTTACTGCTCGTTCCACCTCCAAAGTTGGTAATTAATTCCATGGCTCAAACTCAAAATCACAGCTGTTTTTCAGTTGTCTGCCAGGGTTTAGAATGCTTCTGACCAAGGCCTGGAACCTCTAAAAATGTCTGAGAGACATTTTGAGTTCCCACATCTCCCCTCTCTGTTTGAACCAGAAACACCTGCTTTGCCATGTTGTTCAAGGCTCTTCGAATGCACATGAAAATGCATGGCAGAACAAGTAGAACTACAAACCCTATAAGTATATATAACACTATTTTAAAAAGTTTTTTCCACAATGGTGAAAGATTAAAAAAGCCAATGAAATCATTTCACCAGAATCCTGTTTCTTTTTTCTCAATTTGCTGATACTACTTTGCATCTGTTTCATATGCTCATGAATAGATTTTGAATGATCAAGCAAGTTCATGCAGCATGTCCCCTCAAATTTTTCACATCTGTGCCCATGTGACAGCAGCAAATAACCAACTGCTGCCCTGTTATGAAGCACCGCTTGTCTTGCACTGCTGATGTCTGTTAACATGTCACTCAGTGCAGACGAAATGGCACGACTGTGTTTGCTCAATCCAGTATGCTATGTGGTCCAGTTGTGTCAAGGCCACCCCCAACGCTGTTTTTGGGGTGAGAAAATTGCTACTGCAATTCTCCGAGCCTTGTCCCAAGTACAGACATCATTATCACAATTTGGCTATATTGTTCAAAGGATCTTTTCTCTTTCCTGTGTGCCTGCTCCTTTAAAGTTCTCAAATCAGGCGTTATCAATGCAAGTTCCTCAATGCTGCATGGACTGCTCTTGACTTTTGCAGGGATAGCAGGCCAAATTCTGTCCCTGCAAATCAAAAAACACTCCCTTCGGTAAATTGGCTGGGTGTTGAAGGGATAGTTTGCTTGTCACTTTGGTGTGATTGCACCAGGCATTTCTATAAAAGAACTGATTTGGAATGATATCTACTATCTGATCATCTATCTTTGCCACTCTCAATGGATTGAATTTGATACCAAATTCCATTTTTGTTGATCCAAAAAATTTCCAACTCTGGAGGTTCAATGTGAGCCACAGGAAGGAACTGTGTCCAGACATGCCATCCCTCCACAGGATCCAAAAAGGACTTCAGAACCTTTTGGAGGGGTGTCCCCTGGAATTGGTCATTCCTTCACTGGCACACCTACCAAGCATGTCAAAAATTGTTTCCCCAGTTCTGAATGGGTCAGGCAAATGCTGTCCAGACCCGCTGCCTTTGCCAAAGTCTCCCACACCTTTTCCCTTGGTTGTCTCATGGGAAAGCCTGTCCCATTGCCCAAGGCAACAAGCAAGGGAATGAAGCACATGAACACTATCTGTCTGAACCCCATGTCCATGTCCCCAACCTCTGTGAGAAACCCCGCAATGCAGCAACATCCAAACAACACTTGATTCCCCAGAAAAACCCCAAGTCTCTGAGTTCCCAATCGTTGTCTGACGAGTTGTCTGCAGCGTTGCTGTCCATCTTTGTCTGCGTGCTTGCTTCTCTGCTTCTCTGGTCCATGTTCACTGGCATCTGCACCCGATAAGGTTTCACGTGCCTTGCCGACACCCACTTGATCCTCGTTCTATAGAAGCACAAACAAAACCCTTGCCCCAAGTTATTAATGTAAATGAACTTTCAATTTGTCCTGACTCTGGGTTTTTGACCAAAACTAAAGAATTTTCCCTTAGCACTGCTCGTGCACTGTTTGTAAAATGTCTGACAATTCACATACAAAACTCTGTTCAACTGCATGTGAGATGTTGCTCCTGCCTCCTCCTTTTCTGTTTATCCAAATGGATTTTAAGGTATGATATATTCTGTGGTTTCTCGTGTATATCATGATCCAAAAATTGCTTCTGAAAATGTGTGAACTGAAATATAAATGTGAAAACATATTAACTGAAACACAAATGTTTTCAAACCTCTCAAAAGATGCATATTTTGTGACATCAGTTTGCCACAGCTGAAGACTTTTTCAAACCTCTCAAATTGGTCACTCCTGTAAATACAGGACGCTGTACAAACTGACACTCTGACAAGCACTGATGATTTCCTTTGCCTGACCTTTAGAAAGCGAAAGGATTCCATCAATGTTTGTATACTTTTGTGAAAAAATGCATGGCTCAATTTTTCTTGCTCAAAAATGTCTGGCAGTGTTTGTGAGATGGACACTGTGAATCTGTCTATTGAACATTTACTTTTACTAAAAACCTCAGAAATGAAGAATGCATTCTGATGTGCATAACAAAATATTTATGTTCTCTGTCTTTTAGGATTATTTTCATGCATAATAGATATGAATATAAAACTTCATTGTCTATATGTTTTAAAAGTGATTCTTCTAATTGTTTGGCCACATTTGCAATATACACTGAATCTGTGATCAGATTGATGGTTTTTGAAATAACTGAAAAACTCTGACTATTGCTACTAATTTTACAATTTGTGGTGAGCCTTGTACCATTTTTTACATCTGATTTCCATTTCTCTATTTTTGGAATTTTCCATGTGATTTGTGAGCTTTCCTTGAACTATCAGTAAACACTGTCATCTTTTCTATTGATTCCTAACTTATTTTTGATTTCTCTCTAAAACTTATTTTTGTATTTAACGTTTCGTGAGCTAAAAAATGAACTGTGCAAACTTCTGGGTATTCTAACAACGTGATTGAAAAATCTTGTGACTTTGGATTGTCCACTCAAAATATTTTTTCTTTCTTTAAATGTAAATGAATGATTAAGAAATCTCTGCCTGACATTGTCAGCAATCCGGTGTTTGCCTTAACAATGATCTGAGCCATTATCTCTAAATCTATAGGAACACCTTTTGAGGGCCTGTAAGCTAAAAACAAGTAGGTATACTTTAAACTTCTATGAAAACATTACCACGATCCTTGCTCAAAGTTATTAACTTGACTGATTTTATCAATTTGATCCGTCCAGTGTCTGGCACTCTCTTCATATTTTCCTCGACAATCAGCGAAATCAAATCTACAAAAGAATTATCTCAAAAGATTAAAATATACAGAATTTTCATTACTTATTCCAGCCTTATTTCAGGCACTTCTTCACTTCTTTTCTTTTTTCTCTTTACACCATTTTTCCTTTTTCTCTCTTTCTCTTCTTTTCTTTTGAAACAAGAAGGTTAAAATATAAAACATAATATAGAACAAGATAAAATATCTTAATAATAAAATGCAGAAAACTTATCAAAATCAATAACAATTCAAAAGAGTTCAAAAGAAAGATTCTAAATAACATATATAAAATTGAACAAAGCATAATTATCAGAAACATTGTGCCAGTGGTTCAGA